TAATTGACAGTTTGATAAAAAACTCCTAAGAATATGCCCAGCTCTGGGCTAGGAGCTGCGTATAAACATGTTCAATTTTAGCAACTTGTAGTGTTTTAACTTCATCCTCAAGGCAATAACCAGATAGCCCTGGCCGGATGGCTGTTGGAGCATTGCCGTGCGCACCAAAAAGTCGAGGGTTTGATTCCTGGTCAGGGCACAGGCCCAGGTTGGGGGTGCCATGCCCAGCCGGGATGCCTACAGGAGGCAACAGATCGATGTTTCGCACAATGATGTTTGTCTGTCTCTCTCTCACTTCCTGTCTAAAAAAACCCTGAAATTTCAGATTCCTCGTACAATTATAACATTTACAGGTAGAAAAACATGGAATTAAAATGGAAAGCTCTTCACTGAGGCCTAGGGGCAGCGGAGCAATGCCATCTTGGAGAATGCAATCTACGCAAGTCTGCCTCTCTTTAGTGCCTGAAATGCTACCAAAAAGTTGAATACTTTTACCTATCATAGCAGCATTCACTCATTCACTGCTCCCTGCACTGGCACTGCTCCAGTTCACAGAATAATGAGACCACACCCTCCAGTCCCGGGGCAGGAGTCTTCCTGCTGGGCGCAGGCAAGTAGCACTCAGCCCCCCTACCTTTTGGAAAAAGGCACCTCGGACGTGACAGTGATCTTACTCTTGCTTCTTTCAATGGTCACAACCCCTCCGCCGAGATTCCCAGCTTTTCCGTTCACTTTGATTCTCTCCTGAAGAAACTGCTCCTGTAAAATCGTCCCATTGCCCGGTTAGCAAAGTGGCAACTTCACCCCTCTCACCAGGCTGCTACGCTTACACTGGGTAGTTTCTCAATGCTCACGCTTCTGTAAAAACGGCAGCACATCTTCAGCTGTTAACACAGGACCCAAAATCTAACGGCAACGAGAAAACAGCACTGCCGCCCTGGTCAGTGGGGCCCACTTGGCTGAAGCACTGTCCTGTACACTGAAAGGGGGTGGATTCCACTACCGGACAGGCGTGTGTGGAGGCAACCAATTGATGTTTCTCTCTCTCTCTCTCTCTCTCTCTCAAATCTTTTTTAAAATAGCACTATTCAACTTTATTTACAAGTCTAATATGAAATCAAAATCCTAGCATGAACATACTTGACTGGTTCCACACAAGATCAAATGTGTGTCTACATGGAAGACATTGACTCATGGGTCAAAGATCGAGTAGACAGGAAAGCCAGGGCCAAACTGCTGCAAGGTTGGTGTAGGCAACCAAAGCTACACGCAACTTCTGAACCTAAGGAGCACGAAGCACTGTCCTCAGCAACCGAGTACAAGGAGCAAACACAGTGACACCGTGGCCAGTGTGCTCAGTGGTTAGAGCGCCTGCCCAAAACCAAAGGGTCCAGGTTTGATTCCGGTCAAGGGCACACTACTGGGTTGCAGGTTCCCCGCCCAGGTGAGACCCACTGGGGAGGCAACCAATTGATGTGGCTCTCTCCCATGGATATTTCTCTCTCCTCTCCCCCTTCCACTCTCTCTAAAATCAACGGAAAAAATATCATGAGGATTAACCCAAAAAAATAGTGACCAAAACAATCCCAGATCTGCTCCGGGGCCCTATGCCTGGTACAGGAGGGGCAGCGGCCCAGGAGCCCGGAGACGGGCTCTCAGCAAGCCCCGTGGACCTCTGTGGGCTTCAGGGGTCTTTGTCCAAAAAGGATTCTTTCTGGTTCTCTTCCCCCCCCCCCCCCCCCCCCCCCCCCTGTTTGTTTTTTGGTTTTCTTTCTATTGCAATGACATGAAGTCCCTTTCAGCTGCAATTCCTACAATCTTCTATTTAAACCTCCAATACACAATAAACTGATGATGAGGAAAGTGATTAGGTCAGAATGCTTGACTTCTGCACCTTAGACTCATAGGTGACTCAAGTTTTCTATCCTAGGGAGACTTCTAGAAGGAAAGACAACCAGACACAGGTGAGTGTAGGGAAGGGAGAAAATAAGAAGCCTGATCCTCAAGCACAGTTACCGGAGAAGAAGAGTAAAATGCCAACTCCACGCTGCGGAGTCGGTGCAGCAAAGCTGAATTCATTTTCCTTCTTATAGTCTCCACTCAAGAAAACTCATACACATGGGTTTCAACAGTCTCCTCGTTTTCGAGATATGCCTTCACTTTCTTCCATTTTGCTATCTGGTTCCTTATGGGAAATCTGAATTAGAACTCATTTCCTATGCACACTTATCTAGTATTAAAGTGGTGTTTGTTTTTTAAATGTTTTTATTGATTTTTAGAGAAGGGAGAAACATCGTGAATCTGCTGCCTCCTGCACGCCCCCTACTGGGGATCAAGTCCCAAACTTGGGCATGTGCCCTGACTGTGAATCATCCCGTGACCTCTTGATTCATGGATCAACACTCACCACTGAGCAACACTGGCAGGGCAAGGTTGACTTTTCTATATTTAAGTGAAATAGAGGACTACTGGGGAATAGGACAAATACAGAGGCAGGTCTAAAACACCCAAGCTCCTATTACAAGTCAGCACGCAGGACATTTCCCCACAAGCACGAAGCTGACCCTGGATGACAGGGCAGCCTGAGGAAATGCTGCCACCAGCCCACACCCCACAGCCCAGCAGGCAGGGCCAGGCCAGGACCCAGGCAGCCCCTGTCCCTGAGGATCAGGGCCTATCACTTTAAGCTCAGTCACACCAGAGTGCAAGGGGGATGTGGATCTGAGGAAGTCTGCCTGTTTCCTGGTAACTTTTAAGTAAAATCATGTTGGACACTAAAGGAGGAAAACAAGAAGAGGAGGCAGTTCTCCGGCACAGATGTGCTAAGGTCCCACCTGTCTATTCATCACAACTGTTACACACACACACACACACACACACACACACACACACACACACGACATCCAGGCTGAGAAACACCCAGACCAGCTCCAGTTCAAGCAGAGCCAGAGCCTGGAGTCGCCCGTGAGCCGGGAGAAGCGGCTCCAGGGGGTCTTCTCAGCACCATCTCCAAAGTCCATGACTTGGCATCAAGGGCACAACTTACAAAGTTGGCAGCGTCCATGATTCCATCTTCTACGGGGTGGGTGCAGTCGAGCGTAAACTTCAGAACCTGCTTCTTTTTTTTGCCCCCCTTCGCCAGGAGCTTTTTCTAAGAAAAGTACACAAACAGAGATGATGGCACAAGCTCCCATCCACACACACAAAAAAATTAAAAGAACCAAAAACACCGAAGGTGTAAAAGCCCATTCAAATGCAAAACCCACAGAGTCCTGTTCCCTTCCAAGGGCGCCAAGAGCCACCCTCTGCCCAAGAATGGAGGAGGGACACCACGCCAGCTCAGGCCTTTTCCACGGGGAAATCCTTCAACTCTGGACCCGTCCACACCTTCCAGCCTCCCCCGCCTCCAAGGGCTCATGAACCACAATAAAGTACTTTCCCCGCTCTCTCTCTGTGTCATGGAATTTCCATAAGGACTTACTTCATTCCGGGACCCAGACACAGGCGTACAAACGCTCTGCATTCCCAAAACAATGCTCATCCAAAATCAATACTTGTCCTGAGGCTCCAGACCAGGGTCCTGGCCCAGTTCAGCCGGTTCTCCCTAAGCCCGTCTCCCCTCGCCCGGCAGAGCAGCAGGTGGCTGTACATCCTAGAATCCCAAACACCCAGCGAGCAGAGGGTAGGGCGAACGTGGGTTCTAGCTACAACTCCACCGTCAGCAACTTCTGGCCCTTTCCAACCACCCGCCGGCATGTACCCGACAGGTTCTAGCTCCTTTTCCCTCCCATCAACCTCCTCCCTGTACAAACGCCACCATTAAAAAAGCATCTGTACAATCTACTCACCTGTAAGTAACCATTCTACAAAGCTCCTGCAGAATCTAAAAATACCTTGGCAAGAACACACCCTAAAGCCCCCTTTATGCTTCGAAGAACTTCATCTAAAACTTGCAATCACTGGGCCAACTTTTCCAACATTCAGCTGCTGCAAAAGTCACTGCCTTTTTTTTTTTTAAGGCCTCTCCTCCTAGTTACAATCCAGAGGGCTGCTTTCAGATCTACCCCCGGAAATATACAACCAGCAAGTAAAAAAAAAACCCCACAAAAAACAAACCCTGCCATCAGTTTTAAACCAAAAACACGCCAATGCACAGACGCACCCAAAGCCCCCCCGCCCCCGAGAAGAATAAATGGACCGAAAATGTTGGCAGAGGCGCCCCAGTGTAAGGGGAGGGAGGAAGCCAACTCTCTCCCAGCGACCGGC